TTTTGCCAGGCACAGAGGTGAGACTGACTGTTCTGTAGCTCCATGGGTCTTCCACCTTCCCCTTCTTGAAAATGGGGGTTACATTTCCCTTCTTCCAGTCATCAGGAACTTCACCTGACTGCCATGATTTTTCAAATATGATGGACAGGGGCTTAGCAACTTCATTCACCAGCTCCTTCAGGACCTGTGGATGGATTTCATCAGGTCCCATGGACTTGTGCATGTTCAGGTTCCTCAGGTGGTCTCAAACCCGATCCTCTCTTACAGTGGGCCTAAGGTCTTCATTCTCACAGTCCTTGCATCTGCCTTCCAAGACTTGGGTGGTGTGGTCTGAGCATTTGCTAGTGAAGACAGAGGCAAAGAAGTCATTAAGAACCTCAGCCTTCTCCAAATCCAGGGTAGCCACTTCTGATAGCTTCTGGAGAGGGCCCACATTGTCCCTAGTCTGTCTTTTATTTGCTACGTACCTACAGAAGCCCCTCTTGTTATCTTTCACATCCCTTGCCAGATTTAATTCTAACTGGGCCTTAGCTTTCCTAACGTGGTCCCTGACTTCCCGGACAATGTTCCTGTAATCTTCCCAGGCTGTGTGTCCTCACTTCCACCTTCTATAAGCTTCTTTTTACCCTCTTAAGTTTCCTCAGCAGCTCCTTATCCATCCATGGAAGTCTCCTGGCCCTCATGCTGCACTTCCTTCTAGTCAGGATGCAACGCTCTGAGCATGTAGCAGGTGATCCTCGAATATCAACCAGCAGCCTTGGGCCCCCCTACCCTCTAGGACTATATCCCATGGAGCCTCACTAAGCAGGTTCCTGAAGAGGCCAAAGTCTGCTCTCTCGAAATCCAGGGCAGTGAGCTTGCTGCACACCTTTCTCACTGTCCTGAGGATCTCAGACTCAACCATCTCATGGTCGCTACAGCCAAGGCTGCCCTGGAGCATCACATTCCCAACCAGCCCCTCCCTGTTGGTAAGCATGAGGTCAAGCATGGCACCTCTTCTTGTCGAGATGCCTCTTTCAAAGCATGAAACATAAAGCAGAATACTAAACTTGCAGTTACAGCTAAGTCACTTCTAAATTAAGGTGTGAATGCTTAGCACAGAAGCTGCCTGACACTAATTGACTTTATGGACTTGCTTAATGTTCATCTAAGAGAAAAATGGATTCTAGTTCAATGTTTTGGTGAAGAGTCAGAAAAACAGCAATTAAGATTCTTGGACCAGAAACTGCTTTCAAATCCATGACCAAAACTCACTTCCCCTTTTACTTTCCATCACCACTTCCCCAGGAGTTTTAAAAGATTGTTTCAGCATGAGAAGTTGCTCTTCCAGATCCCAAGGAATCTGACCCTTGCAAGCCAATTGCATGTCCTATATATCTGCTGATACATATATTTGTTTGGCTTATACTTTAATTTGGTTAAGCAGCTCTAAGAGTATCAAATGCACTTTACTGCCATTTATAAAGTGGTCAAGATTTCAATCCATATGAAGGAACCGCTGCACCCACAATTACAATTAGTTGGATTATTCAGTCTTTAGAAGTGAAACAGGACATACGGTAAAGTAAAAAAAGTAGACAGGAGCTGATGGAGATTGTATAAACACAGGTAGTACCTTATATAAATAGACAACTGAGCAAAGAATGAAAATAGAATCATGAAAATGAAAATAAGAAGGGCACCAAAAACTGCAGTGAATGCCAATACTAAATGAACAAAACTATGAGTGAATTAGAAGTGCATAAAATGTTTATTCCCCTTAATGTACTAGTTTCTCTGTGTTTGTATTCAAAGTACAGTACCAAGCCCTTATTGATATAGGATATCCAAAAAGCTGTTGTCCTTACCATTCTCTCTATAGAAAACCATAATCATCCCATTTGAAATGCATACAGAAAAGAGTTTTTGAGATGCAATTCCTATTTCCATACACATTCAGGAACTGCTGTAATAGTTCTTATCCTTTTATTGCTTGATATACTGTATCATATATTTTCTATGCATTGATTTTGCATCAGGCAACAGGAAAGTAGTGATTTCTAGTTAAGAGTTTATATCCTGAGGCTTTACATTTCTCACTTTAATTACTGATGCAATGAGAATGCAATGGAACCTGAGGAAACCATTACTACATGATAAATAAAAGCACTTGCTTAACTCTGCAATCGTTAGAACTGTGAAGGTGCAAGACAATTAACAATTGCACTGTTAGTCTAGCAGTGTGACTTGGATCTTATGAAGAACACCACCTCACATCAGAACAAAGGCCATCACTTTCTACCACATGAAAGTACTAGTTCTCAAGCCCTCTACGCTGTAAATGAGCATCACATTTAGTTTTAGGTAGCTGAGAAAAATAAGTAATACCAGAGCTGTGAGAATAATTCAAAACAAAGAAAAGCACAGCATTATTTGCAAGTAAGACTTACCAGAGTAGCAAAAAGATGATATAGTATAAAATAAATAGCAACTACAGGTGCCCACATATGTCCTACAGCATTCAGTGTCTGGTCCATGACATCCACCCATCCTTCCTGTGTGAGAATCTGAAACATTGACATGAATGCCTGCAAGGAAAAGTATTATAAACATATTAACAATTCACAAATTATATTAATATGGTTTTATTGACACATTCCTCAAGTTGATTTAACAGAGCTGAACACCTATCTTAATAAACAAAACGTATTTCAATTTTTGAAGTCAGGTGAAATGCTATTCCAGAGCAAAAGGAGAAATAAATAGCTTGATCTTTGACTGAACTGTAATATGCAACTTGTAAACACAGTCCTAGTTCCATTAGCCCATATGAAGAGCTTTTTGGTTTCCTCCAGGGCTGACAAAATAGGAGAAATATCCTGAGCATCAGCAATCACTGTTTTGAATGCTATATCATATTGTGTTGGGTTTTTTTTCTTTATTATGCTTATTATTCTCTGTTACCTTTCCATAAATGGACCTATATACCTGCAATAAAGTGTTATAATTAAATACGACCATACATTTGTTATCTTAATAACAGAAGCATTCTAGGCACCAAACAGACGAGACTAACCAATACAAGGCAAGGTCCCAGTACTTCCACTCATTTGAGTCGGTCAGATTCTTCCCCATACGTTTTGTAAACAGCATTATTTATGGAACTGTTTCTGTAACATTTTCAAATCCCTTCAAACCAGGGGTACATATTTAAAATAGAGGGAGTAATGGAAATATTTCAACTAACTGCCTTTGGTGATTGAAGTATATGCATCCATATAAGTCTACAATCCAGGTGCCTTAGGACCTTTGAAACCCCAGCTCGAGCCTACAGCACAGATCAGAATCTTACTCGATATGAACAACACGTGAGAATGACATTGTATATTTTACATTGTACACAGACACTGAGGACTGTGCTCGCCCTCAGTCATACACGTTTGACTGTGGTATCACAGTGTGGGTCTTGAGTCTTAAATCTCTCAATGAGGCCAAACTATCACATATTTTTCTTTTGCTTTTGTCTGACATCAAAAGTACTTTCTTTCCAGACAGAGAGGATCAAGCTGATATCTTTCTGAAGGTTAATACGTAACAAAAAAGTGTTAGAAACTGAAGATATTAACAATGCAGCTTCCAGGTAACGGGAATCTTCAAATTCAGAATGTTCACAAAGTGATAAACACATATTAGGTCTGTGCTTAATGTACCTGACACCCCCAGGAACAGCAGATTAACACAATAACGTACTTGGCACAAAGAGAACAAGACGTTTCTTGTCAGACCCATGAGAAAACAGTACCTGTAGGGCCCTTTGTGTCAACTTACCCTAAGCCCAAAAGCATGCTGGAAAAGCTGAAAACATGTATATATATAAACTTACATCCTTGAAAAACAATAAAGTGGGTTCTAACTCAGTTTTAAAGCTTCTGGGAGAAGAGACTTCAAGTTTATATTACTAATACTAACTTCAGACAAGTACTTTATTTGGGCTCCTTACCAAGTTTGCAGAGCTTATCACAGAAAACAGTGCCTGCAGTTTCTCCCAATGCAAACAGGACCCTTAAGGTTACACCAACACCCTTAAGAGACTCCACTCCAGGCTGTGATTTCTGTCCTGCAGTGTAGGCCAATCTATTTTAGAGAAGACTGTCCACTTGCACGCATACAACACTTGGTCCTGCATCTCCTCCTGGCTCTATGTGATGTCCCTGTCGCTATAACACATCATTAATACTTGGTGTCAAGGAGTCAGTTCCAACACTCTGTAATAATAAGAATGCAGCATAGTTTGCCACACACTGTTTCTGTATTAAGAAATCAAGGGTGTTATCTAGCTCTGCAAAATACCTCCCCATGCACAACATGCAGAGAAGGAAACATTTGAGATCTTTAGCTAGCAGAGGCCTGCTGTGGTCACAGAAGCACACACAAAGAAAGCAGAAAATTCAGCCTCCTCTATAGCTGCCAGTGGTGCTTAAGGATGAAGAAGACAACCACCCCATCAGTGCTCAGAACTGCTTCTCATCTTCCCTTCATGGTGGGGAGGTGAAGCTCAACCAGGGAGTCTCTGTTTCCCTGCATTCTGAGCATTTCTGAAGCCATTGACTGGTATAACGCTCCTTGCTGACATATAAGGTGAGCACTACATTAAGTAAACCACCACACTTCTGGCTTTAAAAATACCTTAGAGACTGGACAATTGAACCAGTGCAGTATCCTGTCTTCTGAATTATACTAAAGTACCATAGTTTATTGCTTTTTTAAAAAAGAAAAATTTTAATTAATTCTTGAAGGTGTAAAGATATGTCCAATACTATGTTGTGGAACTCTCATTAATACAAGCAACAGATTAATTTTGAAAAGACATCCTTTTAATATCATAAAAATCTAATCATCCATGTAAAACAGATGTCCATAAAGCATGTAATTACATTAAATGGTCTTCCGGTATAATTCAGACATTTTTTTATAACATGAAATTCCAGTATATGACAAACCATAAGTTTTAAGAAAATAGGGTGGTACACAGTAAGTATATGCTTCACATCTAGCAATCTCCTTTGGAGCAAGTTATTTTTAGCTGAAAGGTATACTTCCCACTGTTTATTTTAAAATTAATTTGAAATGCAACTAGCTGACAGAATCAACATCTGTGAAGATGAGACTTAAAAGATTTATGCAAATGGCGATTTTCTGAATTAATTCATGTTATAGAAAAGACTGTCAATTTCTTCGAGTATTTATGCCCTATTACTTAATTAGCTGTTTTGATGATGGAAGTCAAACTACCTTTTTATTTATAGTGGAAGATTGGCAAAGGTTTGGTAGAACATATGAGCCGAAGTGCCACTTCTGATATCTTGTCCAACTACTACACAGGTGGTGCCACACAATTACTACTTACAGTTACAATGTATTTGACTTGTAACTGCTGCTTTTCCACAAAATATTATGGGCCCAGTCCCAATGGCTTTATTCAGAGCAGCAGTCCTACAATCAGTAGGATTACTTTTGAAAACTAAGCTAACAGGATTTAGGCCAGTGGTGTGAACTTGCAATCTTTTCTACCTGTGGAAAGCTACCTTCTTCTCCTAAGACAGTCATGAGTGCTCGGTAACACCCTAAGAGTAGCCATCCCATGGCAGCGGCACTAGGATTGTAACTGGATCCGAGAATTATGACCACATTGTTCAATTTTTTAAATGGATGATGCTGAAGCCGAACTAACATTTCACAGCCTGAGCTTCCTCCACGCTCAAGGCTAGGAGCGAAACCCTGGTTTTGCTGAAGGCTGAGGGATTTTTGCTGCTGAGATCAGCTGGGCCTGGCTTTCATCTTGTGTTGACCCATTTAAAAGAGCAGCATTCCCAGCTTTGTTAACTTGAGATACCGAGTGCTAGCACATGGCCCCAAACCCCAGGAGTCTGGCATGGAAGTCAGAGATACTAGCAGTGTGTTTTGTTTTCTATTCAGTGAATTTTAAAACTTCTTAGTGGCCATCTTACACTGATGCCTTTGAACAGAGCCTCGCCCCTCCCATTCCTCCTTCAGGGGGGCCAGCCACTGCCTGCCCTTCTTATGGCTAAATAGACGCTGCCCAAGAAGATGCGCAAGAATAGAGATGGTGGATCGCTTAAAAACATTATAGAAAACATCTATATTTTTATCCTTGTATTAGAGAGAAAGCCAGTCCATTTGGAAAGCTGCAGTGGCCAAAAGAAAGGTGAAATTTGTAGCCATAGCAACACTGAGCTTGTGCCTATTGACTGTTGTCAGGAAACCATGTGAAAACATGCAATTTAGAGGCATTAGCGAAAGGAGGAGGTCTACTTGTTCCCAAACCCATACTGTGCCTTCTCATAAAGCACTTACAGTTTCAAAATGATTCTAGGTTTTGTCTGTTTCAGTGTGAAAAGCACTTTAATGTAAACCCTCAAAATTTAGCCTCTAGTGTCACCATTTTTGTTAGTGTGCTTGTTCTCTTTGTAACGTAAGCAGCTCACAGCAACAATCCTGGCCATTTTAGGTTTGCTCTTCTTTGGGGATGAGGTCCTAAATATTAATCTTAGTAAATTCTGCTATTGCAGACCTCAAATCATCTCCTGCAACATACAGTAATGCAAGTATGTCATCAGTCACATTTTAAAAATAATGCATTCCAGGCAAAAGTAAAATGATATATTTTATAACTGTCTTATTGTAAACTGATTCAGCACTATTTATTAAGAGCAGACAACATGAGTGGGAATCCACCAGCCTTTGCTATGAAGACACACTCCTTCAGAGGGACACCATCACTCATCCCATCAATCACAATTTGGTTTTGAGTACAAATTTTTCTCTGACTCTATTAACGTATTAAGAGCTGCAAAGAGAAACCACATCCTGTAAATTATACTTCTGAAATGTTCAAAACAAGGTGAATATGTTTAAATATTCACATATATAAACAAATAAACAATAACTAAGAAAGTAAGGAGAGACTCTTCCTTCTAACTATCACATAAAAAGTATTTAAAGCATTTCAATTCAGTATTGCTGCAAGTCTTGTATTACTGCTAACCTTTCATTTTCCCAAAACTTAAGTCAGAAAATAGAAAATAGATATTTTCTGTTTGTAAAAACTGTGTAATTTGCTGCTTAAAATATCTTCTCACTCTTTGAACATGTATTTAATATATAAATCTGTTGAAATTTTAATATGATAGAAGCTCTTACTGAAGCTTAAATGGCCTTAGATTTAAATGCTTAGAAGAATTTAAAACTTTACTAACATCTTGATACACCTTTGCAATGTTTTACTGCAAGTGGATCGTTCTCAGATATATATATCTATTTATCTAGTTGAAATGCACAGGTGGCTGTGAATCCGTCTTATTGAAATTATACTGCAATAATTCTTTCAGGACTTTCACTACTATTTTGCATAAATTAGAAAAGTAATTCCAAAACAAAATTCCATGATGGTTTCAAACTTGCAGTTGGAAGTTTTTTTCAGAAGTTATACATGGGAATTGGGCATACAATGTATCGGTGATATCATCCAATTTAGAGACAGAGCTCTGACTTGATTAGAAAAGCTTAAGTTTTATTGTATTTTTTTCTGCTTTCTTCAGCATTTAAAAAAATAATTATAATGAATCCTTAATGATCCTACTGGCTGCTTTTCTAAGCACATTTTCCAAAATAGAAAGCATGGTGTTACATTATTCTCTGTGGGTAGGTAGTTTGTGTCTTACATTTGATAGCTAGCTTCCCATACATCAAGTCCAGGGTGATAATTACAAATTGTTGCCTAGCTATTTTGTTTGCCAAATGCATGACCCTTGAGGCTGCCTTATTCATTGTTATTTAATTGTTCTAACCAATGCACTTTCACTAAAATAGATACATTGGATAACCAAGCTGGGATGACAGAAACAAATAAATTGTCACTGGAACCAATCCATGTACACTCAGTCTAATCTGTTATTAAAGAGATGGCAGTATTTTCATTCAGAACAGTGTGCTTCAATAAATGCATTAGCTCCAATTTTCACTGATTTTCAATGTTCTGTTCTGAATTAACGCAATGCCCATAAATATCCATTATTTATACCCCAAAGGCAAACATTTATTTTGTCAGTGCAGACAGATTTTATAGTCCTGTGTAAAACAAGCATTCCTGTATGAATCAAGAACAATCACTTTCATAATGTGAAGATATCAATCATGTGTAGACATGTTTTATGTAAATTTTGTGGCTAATATTGATGATTGTGTGCATGAACCCTCTTTCTGTAACATGCTAAGGTACCATATGCTTTGTTGTGTCATCACCAGGGTGCATGTGTGAAATTTCTCTATGTTCCCTGAAACTGCATACCTAACACAAAGAAAGATAAACTTCACTACTGAAGGACTACAGGATAGCTGTTACACCCAGAAAATACAATTGCTTTATCTACACATATGGAGATAAAATGCTCCATGGTTCTCAGAAGGAAGGAAAGACCACTAGTAACAAATTGTTGAATCTGCCTTGGTTTCAGCTGGCATACAGTTAATTTTCTTCCTTGTAGCTGCTTCAGTGTTGTGTTTTGGGTTTGGGATGAGCATAACTTTGATAACACACTGATGTATTAGTTGTTGCTGAACAGTGTTATACACTAATTCAAGGACTTTTCAGCTTCTCATATCACCCCACCAGTGAGGAGGCTGGGGGGAGGAAGGGGGCAGAAGAAGCTGGGAGGAGGCACAGCTGACTCCAACTGACCAAAAGGATATTCCATACCATATGACATCATGCTCAGTATATAAACCAGGGGGAAAGGCGGATGGGGCCATTGCTCAGGAACTGGCTGAGCAATGGTTGGCAGGTGGTGAGCAGCTGCATCGTGCATCACTTGTTTTGTATATTCTAATTCACCACAGCTGTGTGGTGTGTAGTTAACTGCCAGGTTAAACCACGACAGAATCATAGGATCATTTAAGCTGGAAAACACCTTTAAAATCATTAAGTCCACCCATTAAGCTAACACCAACACTTACCACCACCAGTGGTAAGAAAATATCTTGTTAATGATAAGAAAATAATAACAAGCAACAAGTAATCAATGGCTTTGATACTTGCCCGTGGAAAGGTTGTAAATCTATCCAGTTCTTCCACAAAGCAAAACATCTGTAAACTGATTGCTGACATTACGATTAAAAGGCTGGCAGTAAATACCACCAAACTTCCAAGTTTTTTTCCTGGTCCAAATATCTTATACACAAAATCCTCCAAAGCAGGAGAAATCTTTATAAGCCGAACTACTCTAAGAACCTGCAAAGAAAGAGAAAATACAACTGTATTAATTGATTATCACATTAATCAACAACTTTCCACAGGATCAGAAACTTCAAGACCAAAAAGGGACTTGCAGCCTTGTAGCCCAGTAAACACGGGGTTGCCTCCACTTGTAACAGACCACGAGTTATGTTTTAGATTAGGAGTACAAGCCCTGGAACCTGTCAGGTTTTGTCTGCACTTATTTTGCCCTGCCTGGACAATTTTTTTAACTTGCAACAGCAGTTACCCATGACCATGTAACTTTTAACCTACTTTGTCCTTTGCTTAGCTTTTTATGATTGTGTGGTGTAATGCTTATTGTTAAGTATCTCTTTATTTCTAACATACTGTAATAAGAAGCTGTAATTTTGCATGGAATGAGCTATCTGTGAACCTTTCATAAAATGCAGCATCAAGGCATACAGACATGAGATAACAGCATCTTGTTCAAATTGAGAGTACAGGCACAGGAGGGTACTCAAGGCCCCCAGCTCTCACCAGTCACAAAGAGGTATCACAGAAATGCAATTGGGTATAGCTGTTTTGGGGGTAACAAAGGGAACAAAGTCATACCACAGATAGATAGTAAATCTGATCTTAATGTGGAATTACAGACCAATGAAGGTCATCAGTGTTAAAAATTCATACTTATTCTAAAGGGTCAGAGTCCTGAACAATCTTTGAAGAAGGCTAGACAACACAACTTTGAAAGGCTGCTTTCAACCTACATTTTACTATAATTCTGTGCTATTTGTTAAATCCGGGTATATATTCACACAAAGAACTGCCAACTCTTCTACAGGTCATCTTTCTGTTTCAGTGACCCAAGGCAAAATTGCTTGGCATTGCATACCATATAACGTAGCAAGTTTGATAACGAACATATTTTGCTATTTCTTAATATATACAGCAAGGGAAATTGTGCCACTGACAATTTTAACATGTTTGACACCTCTTAGTGTTAGTAGTGGCAGCAGAACTGTGATTGTGTGTGGAAGTCCTGACCCATTCACTGCTGAGCCTACCTTGAAAAACCTTTTGATATCTCTGATTCTCCCATTTATGCCACTGATGGTGACACAGACATGAACATCAGCATCAACAAGAGGGAGTGGCAGCAACAGTAGCTGCTGGAGACAACAGACAGCAGGATATGGGGCAAATGAGATTCTGCTGTTCTTACGAAACCCTCTAGACCAAGGTACCGCTTTTATTTCCACAAGAATCATAGTGAAACTGAAAGGCAGGAATTACAGTGCAATTGAAGGTTGACCTTATGTATAGGTCAAATAAAATTACTGTGCTGCTTTTGGAGAGAAAATAAGTTTGACAGAAGTTGTTCACAGAAAGAGTACACTGAACCTTGTAGCTTGCTAATAATGTACACCTTTGTCTTCTGCATGAAACTCATCTCCATACCTAGCCATCAGGTATGCACAACATTCTAGTCATCTAGGCTTTACTGCCAAAGAGGAGAAACAGTGACAGCCACGTCAAGAGAACAACTTACTCCCAATATACCAGACCCCTTGTGTGAGATTAACTTTCACAATATTAAAGTGAGGTAAAGTCCTTTCTTTCATATTGGTCCTGTGATCATATTACATATAATCTGAGTACATGAAACTGGTTACCAAGGCAATGACAGACAGTGGGACAAGTGAGATTTCCAAGTACTATGAACATGTAAACATGGTGCCTTCTACTTACAAGATCTACTTACAGCGTAAATTTTAGCTCTGTTTCCAGCAGTATTAATTTAAATACAGACCCCAGTGAAGTGAATATCTCATGCTAGTTGGTATTCTGGGTTGTATTTTAGATAAACTGCATTATCTGCCTTATTTACCCCTCCTCCCTTCCTTTGGGGAACTTTAATTGACCTTTAAGCAACACACTAATTTTATTGATACTATTTGGTTTTGTTTTTTTTCATTTATTTTCATTAGATGACAAATTGAATCTAGCAAAAGTACACTCTAATGAACATTTATGCATTCTTTGTAATTGGATTGCAAATTGTATTAGATTTAAGAGCTTCAGAAGTTGCATTATTTGGAATAAATATAAAAATACATTAAAAAAACAAATTAAAACCAAAAAATACAAAAGAGGAGCCACAACTTTGTACAAAGAATGGCTGCATCTCCTAAAAGTGGTGATATGTACTCAGAAAATGACCCAGCAATATTTTCCCCAAGCACATCTCCTCAGACTAGTATAGGCCAAATTTTGGTTAAATATCTCCCTTTTATGCCAGTTCATTACAGAACTCTGCAGTAATATGCAAAGTCTGTCATTTCTTGACTGACTTTGTGTTCTATGGATTATAGACACGGAATGGTGGTTTGCTGTAGTCTTTCACAGGAGGCTTTGCAATGTGTTTTGAATCAATGTACAGCAAATGCAAGAAAGATAGGTGGGAGGGTGGACAGTAGCCAATGTGGTGAAGAGTGAATGATGTGTTGGCAAAAGGTAATGATAAAGACAATATTTCTGCTTGCTGGAATGTGTCAAGACTTCTGTTTTCAGTAATCTGCTTTGTTGGCTGACAAGAAACACACTTAACCTGTCATCATTAATACCTAAAGGCCTGGAAACCTGCCTAACATCAAGATGTATCCATGTGAAAAAGACTTTTTGACCTTGGTTGGTTTGAAAATGTGTTATCTAGCTTGCCCAGAAGCTTAATTGTGGGGAAATACAGTGCATTACCTCCCTTACACACTGACATCAAAGGTAAAGTATTTTCCAACCTTACTGTCATCTGCCTCTTATGGGATTTGCATTGCAAAATACAATCCGAATCTTTCACTGTAGCAGGTGTTTCTGCTTGCAAAATCTGAGTCTCTTATATATTTGGGAAAAAAAGCACATCCTGGCATTTTGTGTCATAAAAGCTAGCACTTAAAAAAACCCAAAAGAAAAAAACAAAAACAAAACACACCACCACCCCTGCCCCAGAAAACTTATTAAATCCATTAAAAAGACAAGACTTATCATTTCATTATCAACATCTGGCTACATTTTCATTATACTTTCAATTGCATGAGTTAATGATGTCACCCATTTAGTGCGACGTCTTCACAATTTATATTTAAAATTCCTAGAAAGAAATCATCAGATGTAAATGGATTCTGCCTTAATAAATATGGACCAACTATTAACTATTTTAACTGAGAGCTCCCAGTTAGTTTTCTGTGTGTTTTTGACACAAGAGTGCAATGGCATACTCCTGCTAGATTATGTTTTCTTGCAGGATAGAAATAAAATGCTATGCTGAATAACAACATTTTACACATTTGGACTGCAAAATCAAAGCTAAAACCATCTAAAAACCTTCAAATGATACCAGCTAAAAGTAAAATAGAATATGTCATCCTGAAAGCTTTCTTGAGCAGGCTTGTACAGCCATTTAGAAAAAATACAGGAGGTCATTTGCAGAAATCTGAAAAGACCATTATATTTCAACCTACACTTGGGAAGACTGCTTCCCCTATATTGTACTTACTTCATCATAATAGGTGTCACTGTAGCTAACCACATTTATTGACAGGACTCTGTCTGACAATTTATTATTTGCCCTCATTGATTATTAATTATTCACTATGCCAACCTATTGCTGAATAATGGGCAGACACGAATCCTTTAATATACTTTTTAAAAATCCTTTTAGCACTGTAGAATATAACAAAGTATAATGCATCTCAGTGTTTTCTCCCACAATCGGAGCAATCCTAAGCACTTCAAGGACAAATGGGGAATTAGTTGGGCTGACTGACAGAGCAAGAATCAGAAGTTTGAATTAGTAAGTCTTTCTTTGTCTCTATTTCCTGCTCTTCCCCAAAGTGAAAATGTAGGAAGATCCTAAATAAACACATCCTCTCAATAAGGAATGGTTGGAGAGCTACAAAAAACAGCTCTAAGATGGTTTAAGATGGTTCTGGAAAACTGATCTCAGAAGACCCACAATAACTGGAGTGGAGGCTCTTAGGTATGTGACTGCTCCAGAGATGAAGATTTGGGGAAGAAATAGCAAGTGTACCAAAGCCTCAGAGTAGAAGCCAGGAAAGTAGTGGTAGACACTACAGGAAGGTGATGCTGTAAACAGCTCTGTGCAAGGACAAGCTCAATGAAGGACAGCAAATAAACTAATCCAGAACCTGCTGGACAGTGTAGCTCAGGTAAGAAATGGGAGTTACTGAAAACTGAAAGGACTTCTCAGCAAAGTTAGAAGGAATTCTACTTGTTACTTTAAAGATACTCTTAAAATAAGCCAAAATTGTGTATACATCAGTAGTCTGAGACTGGAAGTCAATGAGAGTAACATGTTGATGGGTAATGTTTTTATTGGTATATAGAGTAAAATGTAGAAGTATCTGATCATACCTGAAAATACGTAAACTGAGAGTGATAGAGGTCTGGATAGATATGAAGAGTGGTTCCAACTACAAGCAGCAACTCAAACTTGTGAAGAGATGAGCTGATGTATCCTGTGAAACCCAAACACCAGATCTTCAGGAGAGCTTCCAAATCAAACAGAACTGTAAAAGCAACCTATGAATATATAAACCAAGAAAGATGCATTCAAAACACTGAGTTAAATTACAAGTTTCTGTGGCATCATGTCTATTAAGGTTTCCTATGGCAAAAATAAAGATCTCCATAATACTTAACAAAACCACTCATACTCTGAACAGAATAAACAATCAATAGATTTCTCATATAGGAAATTCACACTCTGTCCAGAATTGGTAAACTTTCACAATTTTAAAAGAGATGGTGTTAAAGTTAAGCAAAGACCAAGGTTAGAAGTTACAGGGGAAGAAATCTACTTCTAGTCACTGAATGATTGTGGGATTCTTCCAGAGACTTCTTGAAGTATTTACACATTAAACCCCATGACGTTCAGATGGAAAAAAGGGACAAAATTTTGCATAGGTTTACATCTTCAAGATTTGTTTTCTCTTACTTCTGCCACTTCTGAAAATCCTTCTGGCTAGACATACCCATTCCTCACCTGCCTTCTTATTTTACCACTATGTATACTCCAAGATACTCTCTCTCTTGCTTCCCAACAGACAGAAAACCCAATGGAAAAGATGTTTCTCCTTGACTCAGCAATTTTCCCCTCTGACTCTTGACACACTTTGGAGCTTAAAAGAGACACTGAAATAAAATTAGGTGGCATCTATATACAACTAATACTTTTAAAGTGCTTTACAAACATTAACAAAATACAGCTCAAGCCTCCTTTGAGGAAAAGCATTATTAGTCTTTTAAGATAGAGAGATTAATTGAATGTGGGCCATGAAGTTTACTAGAATTGGCAGAGGATAACAAAGTTAGAGACTAAGATTTTAATCCTGAATGTGACAGTGACAATCTCTGGGATGCTGCTTTAAGTACTTCTATTACTGAATATTTAAACTCTCCAGTCCATCAAAAATATATTTATCAACATAAAAGAGCAGTTTTGTGAGACAGATAAAGAAAGTTTTACATATTTTATGTGGACAGGACTGTCCTCATGCAGGCACGGAGAATTAAACACTGAAGTTTATGTCCTATGTTTACTCCCCTTGTCCACACAGCTATTTATGAGCAGTGCTAGCAGCTATATTATATATCTCCTCAAGGAATGCAAAATAGTTATCAGGTGTCAAATGTCCTCTGAATGGCTAAATCAAGGACAAATGCTTCATAGCACTCCAAAACCTTCTTCACATTAGGAAAGAAATACTACTAAGAAATATTTGTGTTACTTTAGTCATACACAGTGTAGGGACACTTTCATGCTCATATTCTTGAATGTATCTGGGCAGTTTTTCAGCCCTTGTTCTGGTAGCTCAAAGAGCTTATGGAGAACATGAGCCAAGTTTGAACAGACAACCTCTTCACACGAAAATATCTAAACCACAAGGACAACCCGTTATCAAAAAATACTAAAGTGAAAGCTCGCTTTTAATGAAAATACATCTAATTGAGTCCTAAAAGAACAAGGTGGTCAAATTAGGAAAAATGGGGCAGTGGGTAGAAAGCAGCTGGAGTTCAGCTACACAGCAGGTGGAATAACAATGCCATTTAAATACACACATACATACTTCAGAGCACATAGGCTTCCTATTAGGACAAGACTAACAAATATGATGTTAAGTGTATTTTAATTTATTCTAAAAATGTGTGGGTGGGATCATTTGCATTTTACATGCTTGTCAAACGAATTCAAACCACTAGCACTTAAAAATGTATCAAATGGTTTGCATAACATCTGATTACATTTATACACCTGTC